TATTCACTAGAATTTAATTGTACTTAAGAGACTCACCGTAAAACTCTCAGGGCACTTTCTTTGAGGTGTCTTCTACATGCTAAACTGAATTTTATCTTGATCTTTTATGTCCTTTGAGTTGTAGAAAAATGTTCTATGCCGCTATTGATTTTCTTTTTTTAGAGAAATCAGGGGGGGGGGTATTATATAAGTGTTTGTTGACGTGAGAATTATAAATACCTCCACATACTTAAGCTTGAATGTGACCTTTGGGTCAAAGGTCAAGGTCATTTATCAAGGTCAAAGGTCAAGGTCATGCAAAAAAAAAAAAACACTTTTATAAACTTGAGTTTTACACTTGAAGCTGAATCTAGGTAAAGAAAATGAATATATCTTTTTAAACTTTTGAGAAAAAGTCAAGGTCAAAGGTCAAGGTCAAATATCAAGGTCAAAGGTCAAGGTCATTTTAACCAAAAGCCCGTAAATAAGCAATTTTGATACTTTCCCAATGACCTTGACCTTTGACCTTGACCTTATATTCAAGGTCAAAGGTCAGAAGATCTCATGCAGTTGGGCCCATGTCTTTACGACTTGTCGTTGAGAAGTTTTTAGTTCTTTGTAAACATCATAAACTGCCAGGGGCAATAACTACTTTAAATGTTTCCGAATTCTTTCGCATCAATAGAATGAGAAGTGTACTTAATTAGTCGCAGACATTGTTGAAGGTTTTATACCTCTACGGTTTATGGTTTCGGAGGAGTAGCGATAACAAGGGTTTACAATGAAAGGGGCACTAACTTTTAGAGGGTTCAATCTTAAGGGACAAGCATGGAATCTCTGAAATGGTTTTAAGAGTACATACTAAAAATGCAAAGAAGTTTAGAATTTGGTTAAGAACAAAAGAGCTATAAAAAATGCTTAATTTTACATATTTTGAATGAATTTGACCTTTGACCTTGACCTAGATTTTAAGGTCAAAGGTCAAGAAATCTTTTGCAGTTGGCCCCATGTCTCTACAATTTGTCGTTTTAGAAAAGTTCTTGATATTCGTAAACATCGCAAACATTCAGGGGCAATAATTCATTATAGGAGTTTACGAATCCTTTCGTAATGTTTGATTGAAGAGTCTACTAAATCAATCGTAGACATTAATAAAGGTTTGGAATCTCTGCGGTTTACGGTTTCGGAGGAGTAGCGATAACAAGCTTTTATTGCGAAAGGGGTCATAACTCCGATAGTTGTCGAAGTTCATATACGCAGGGTCAACTGCGAAAATCTTTTACGAAGTACATTCTTATCGACTAAAAGTCTTTTCGATAAATCTTGAAACTCAAAATCACACGGCGGAAAAATAATAAAAAATAAGAAAAAGAAGAAACAGAAGAATATCAATAGGTCTTTCCAGAGAAAGCTGGAAAGACCTAAAAATAAAAAAGAACTAGTAAACTAATTGTTCAGAGAACAATGAGACGTCTTTCCACCTTTTTTGGTGGTCCCGTGTCCTTTGGGTTAAAAAAAAAAAAAAAAAAAAAAAAAAAAAATTCCAAATAAAATGTGCCTCCTGCCGGATTCGAACTCGGGACCTTCAGATTGAAAGGCGAAATGAAAGCACATGGATTTAAACAAAAATAGACACACGTGCATTTTAAAATAGTGCAGAAACACGTGTATTTTATTTGTTTGTGATGGAACATAGAGAAGAATAATGAATAGTTCTGAGAAACACGATTGGTGTATAATGGAAATGCCGAATTCCTATTAAAAAAAATCATTTGAGTTTGTTTATACTTTGAATAGATTGAGTTAATCATACAGAGCTTATGATACATTTGAACTTCCGTGTCGGCAATGTGTTTACTATTTATGAAAATATAGGCGCGTTCGTTTTGACAGATATGGTGAACTCATAGGTAAGATTAAATAATCATCTGTATTTGGATTGTTTTAATAGTTATCAGCATAAATTAAACTTGAAACATGCATTTCATGAAGAAAACTGTGTCACTGAGAGCGTGGAAATTTATTTGAGAGGAAAATTCGCTTTAATTTTTTTTTTTTTTTTTTTTTTTTTGGAATTATTCGATTGATATTAAATCTAAATCAAATTGAAATAAATCTGAGTTAGGATCAAGATCAAAGATCAAGGGTCAAGATCATTAAACCCCCCCCCCCCCCAAAAAAAAAAGTTTATAAGCAATTTGGATACTTTTCCAATAACCTTGACCTTTGACCTTGACCTTATCCTCAAGGTCAAAGGTCGAAAGATCTCATGCATTGTCCACATGTCTTTACGACTTGTCGTTAAGAAGTTTTCAGTTTTTCGTAAACATGAGAAACTGTCAGTGTCAAAAACTGCTTAAAATGGTTTACGAATTCTTTCGCACTTATGGAATGAAAAGTGTACTAAATTAGTCGCAGACATTGTTGAAGGTTTCGTACCTCTACGGTTTACGGTTTCGGAGGAGTAGCGATAACAAGGGTTTACACTGAAAGAGGCACTAACTTTTAGGGGGTTCAATGTTAGGGGAAAAGACTGAAATCTTTAAAATGGTTTTAAAAGTACATATTAAAGATGCAAAGATGTTAAGAATTTGGTGAAGAACAAAAGAGTTATTAAAAGAGCTTAATTTTTCAAACTTTGAATGACCTTGACCTTTGACCTTGACCTAAATTTCAAGGTCAAGGGTCAATGAACCTTTTGCAGTTGGTCCCATGTCTCTACGACTTGTTGTTTAAGAAAAGATCTCGACATTCATAAACACCGCAATCATTCAGGGGCAACAATTCATAAAAGGAGTTTACGAATTCTTTTGAAAAGACAGATTGAAGCATCTACTAAATTAGTCGTAGACATTAATAAAGGTTTTGTGACTCTACGTCTTATGGTTTCGGAGAAGTAGCGATAACAAACATTTATTGCGAAAGGGGTCATAACTCCTTGAGACGTCAAAGTTCTTAGACGCAGGGTCAACTGCGAAAATCATTTACGAAGTACATCTTTTTGGTCTACAAATCTTTTCGATAAATCTTGAAACTCAAAAACATGCGGCGGAAAAATAATAAAAAAAAGAAAAAAGAATAATAATAAACAGAAGAATATCAATAGGTCTTTCCACAGAAAGGTGGAAAGACCTAATAATAATAAACAGAAGAATTTCAATAGGTCTTTCCACAGAAAGGTGGAAAGACCTAAATATTCAAATATTAATAAAAATAGACAATATAACAGCTGTAGCACACATAAACAGATTGGGCGGAACAAAATCTGCATTACTAAATCATCTGGTAAAACAAATATGGGAATGGTGTCAAGTAAATCAAATCTCCCTAATAGCAGAATTTATTCCCGGATCTCTGAACACAAAAGCAGACTGGGAGTCAAGAAATCAGCAAGATTCAGGGGATTGGATGTTAGACAAACCAATTTTCAATCAAATTATGAATCTTCTAGGGTGGTGCAAAGTAGACCTTTTTGCCTCTCGTCTAAACCATCAACTTCCTCAATATTACAGTTGGAAAGCAGACCCAGGGGCCAGGGGGATCAATGCTTTTCTACATTCTTGGAAGGGAATGAAAGCTTACATATTTCCTCCCTTCAGTCAGATAGGCAAATGTTTAGGGAAGATAAGGGAGGAACAGATAGAATCAGTAGTACTGATAGCACCAGTCTGGCAAGGTCAACCCTGGTATCCTCTTCTGTTAGAAATGTTGATTCACAACCCAGTCCTTCTTCCACCATATCCCAATCTGTTAACATCTCCAACAGGCTTACCTCATCCTCTCACTTCAGACAAATCCCTTCATCTAGCTGCATGGATGGTTTCGGGAAACACATACAAACAAGGTCTCTTTCTAGAGAAGCTGCCTCTTTACACTCCCAAGCATGGAGACCAGGAACTAGAGCAGCTTACAAAAGTGCCTGGGGAAAGTGGGTTGGCTGGTGTGGTTCAAAATCGTTTGATCCAATTCACCCCCCTCTGGAACCTATTCTAGAGTTTTTAACTGTTTTGTACAATGAGAACAAACAGTACAGGACAATTAATACCTACAGATCTGCAATTTCCAAAAACCATGCCCTTGTAGAGGGTCAACGTGTAGGACAACATCCTTTAATTGTTACTTATATGAGAGCTATTTTCAATATGAGAACCCCAAAACCAAGATATCAAGAATCTTGGGATGTAGACATTTTACTCAAGTTTATTGATAACTTAGGTGATAACAGAAGCCTTTGTCTGAAAAAGTTATCTTGTAAATTAGTGGCATTACTCGCTCTGACCTCAGCTGGCAGAGCCTCAGAACTTAACCAGTTGAATGTGAATTTCATGATAGATTCTGGTGATTGCATTTCATTTAAATTGTCTAAACCTACAAAGACTTGCAAGCCAGGGAATCCTTTACATTCTATTGTATTCAATGCTTTTGAGACGAACACTTTATGTGTGGTAGAATGTATTAGATCTTATATAGAAAGAACAGTTGATTTTAGAGATGTTTCAGACAACATAGACAGATCCTGGTTGTTACTGAGTTATGTAAAAGCACATCACCCAGTGACAACTAGTTCTATTTCTAGATGGTTAAAAACCATAATGGCTGAAGCTGGTATTAACACTGACCAGTTTAAAGCTCATTCCACTAGGTCAGCTTCAGTATCAAAAGCTTATTTGGCAGGAGTTTCTGTTTCTGAAATTATGCAACAAGCTCATTGGGCTAAGGAGAGTACCTTTGCCAGGTTTTATTGTAAACCAGTACACAAGTCGAGCTTTCAAAATTCAGTATTGAAAAGGTAATAATAAGGGCTTTAAAAGAACACTAAGTATCTTATCGAAGGTTATGAAATGAAATTGTAGATTTCATAAGCACACGTAGTGTGTGCAATGGAATCCTAATTTCATGAATAACCTGAGATAAGATATGAAAGTGTTCCCACCCACCCTTCCTGTTACTTTTTTGTTTTTTGTATTCCATTGGTTATATCATTGTCTGATATTAACTCATCACTATCTGATATTTTTCAGATCATAAGAAGACTGGACAATTATAAAGAAAGAAAAGAGATTTTTTTGTTGAATATAATTGTAATTGAATAAATCAATCTAAGAGTTTACTTCATTTTAGTTTTTCCTTACAATGTAAGGTTTTACGTTGTACTCCCTCACCAATTCGAAGAATGAGTAAATTTCTATAGGGAGACTTTTTATATGGCTATTCATAACGTCACCTAGCGGCGAGTCAAGCGGAGAGAACACTTTCATATCTTATCTCAGGTTATTCATGAAATTAGGATTCCATTGCACACACTACGTGTGCTTATGAAATCTACAATTAATATGTAAGGACACCAATTAACAGGTAAATTTTTGTTTTGGTATTGAAAATTTCTGTATATTCTAAAATTTAAAAAAAATAAAGTCAAATTTCATTTGTGTCATTCTCATGATATTGCATTCATACAAGTTTATAAACATTTGATTTATATTTTGAAAAATAAGTGTTTGAAACACATAATACAGTGTACTTATGATGCTTGATTATTCATACAAACACATTATTTAAACACGTAATATCTTTTTGAATGAATGCCGACATATGAAACAAGCTGTTTTTATAGACTGCTGTTGTATTTCCAATCTGCGTAAAGTATGTGGTTAGAATTTCCATTTTCTCAATTTTTCAGACACTTTCCTATACATGGGTGGTCAAACTCACTGGATGGTTTATCAACACTCCCATGCTCACGAACAGCCTTGCCCCAGGAATTTGCCCTGAAGTAACATTTGCAGTCAATTGTCTCCTTTCTTTTTACAACATTGGCAGCCATGCAGGTATGCAATCTATGAAAGCCATGAAGGGACATAGAATTTTTAAAAATTTATAAAAGTAAACCGAGTTCTTGATTTATACAATCCGTTCTCTCGGATTGACAATTTGTAATAACAAATTGCCAATTCATTCTCACAGATTATCAATTCCTTCCCTCAAATTACACAGTCCGCTATCTCAGATTGTATAATTTATTCTCTTAGTTTAAACAATTCGTTTCCTCGGAATGTAAACCCTTCACATGATTTCATTAAAATTATTTATCCGTACATATCGGATATGGTAATACATGTTTAAAGAATAGAATATTGTAGTATTTTACATCCTACCTTTTATTACATATTAGGGTCCAAAATGAGAAAAATACATGAACATTTTAAAATCCATATGCTAATACTGATATTTGTACAACAAAAAATCTTAGAGGTTTTTGTGTTACATGTATATTAGAATAATTAAAGTCCTAAATAGTAAAAGTGAATATGGGTCCTGTGTAATCATAATATTTCTAAAATAAATATACGTTGAATTAGTTATGAAAGAGGTTGGAAACGACCGGTTGCTGAAACAAAATAAACAGAACGCACTAATTGATTAAAATGGTTGGATGTATCTGTACATATATACATTGTAATAAAATTCAAGAGCACAGATTGCCAAAATCATAAGACTGACGTTATAAAAATCAAGATCTCGAATTATTAATCTGTGAGAAAGAATTACCGGTATGTAATTCGAGATCTCAAATTATGAATTAAGGGGGCAAATTAGTAATCCGTAAGATCGGATTGTGTAATTCGAGATCTCGAATTATAAATCGAGGGAACAATTTTAAATTAGTAATCCGTGGGATTGGATTGTCTAATTCGAGATCTCATTTTTTACTTTTTTGAAAAATTGATGTGTCCCTTCATGGCTTTCGTAGCAATCTAATTAAAATTAGATCTTCCATCCACTGCCAGGTTTTTTTTATATGTTGCGATAGCATAAACAGAGGTCTGGCTTTAGTTAGATTGCCAAATATGCTATTTGTTTTAGTTCAGTAATTTTACCATGATTTACTACAAGGTTGTTGAATTATCAGTCCTGATACATTGACTTAACAATGTCATTTAACTACTTGAATCACATAGTAAATACAATTTTAAAAGGAAAATCAAATAAATGTAGTAATTGTAGCATTCTTAATTTTATTTATAAATGTAAATCCATATACACAATGACATGTATCTGTTTCAAAATACTTAAATCTTTTACAGGATAGAAGCTGATCACTTGTACATGACAGCAAATAATAATGTCTTGGACAATTAAGTCAAAGAACTTCCTCCAGTCTTACAGAGAAATGACAGTTGATAAAGGAATGGTGGACACAAAGTAAAAGTGCTCTTCAACATTTTGTTGAAGATTTCAGTCTGATTTGGAATTCATCTTGCAATATTTCTTGATTTGTATATTTGGATATAAACGTCACATTTTCAACTTATTGACTAAACAGTTTTGCGTTAAATATTGCCAATGCTATCTGTTATTATTATTTCCCTCCAAGATAACATGTCAAGTCTTTATTGTACCCCTTAAGCTCTGTTATACCAGAAAAATCTTGTAATGAAATTATTTAGTTATTTTTTCTTGTTAGATTAAATCCATGAAAATAAAAATTATTTTTAATGGCATCAAGAGAATGTATTTTTTTTGTTTAACAAAAAGATTCTATACATGTTTTGCTAGGGGTTTGTAAGAAGCAGACCAGAATTCTTTGCTTGCAAATTTTGTCATTCGCCATTTTTATTACATCAACTATTAGATGATTTATCCATGATTGAAGCATTTCGAAATTGATATTTACTTACAGTTCAAAGCAAAATTCTGTACTGATATGACCTTGACCCCCTTAAGAACAAGAGTTTCAAGGTCAATTTTTAATACAAAAATGGTCTTTCATCTTTATGGCCCATATCTTACATACAATATCATGAAATATACAAAAAGTGTCTAGAATGTGTCCAGAATGTGAAATAACAAACATGTATATAGCCAAAAACTTTAAAATGTTGTTGCTTAGCAATCACTTAAAGGTCATTAAACAGATATTTGAACTAAAATGATGCATGGATATTGCAGTTCTGATCCCTTCTTGAGAGTGAAACGGCTTAGAGTTATCTCCCTTTTGTTTCAATGCTTTAATCAATAAATAATTGTAAATAGTGTAATTAACGAGTTATTGATTAAATGACTTTACAAGAAAGGATATTATATAGATAAAAATACAACAAAAACATAACTTTGGTTAAGATGAGCAAAGTATGCTCGGAAACGTATTCCTGCATAATTAGCCACTAAAAAGTATTACTGCTAAGATTTTATAAGTAGGCAAATGGCCAGTGGGTTAGGTGTCTATACACTTCGTTCAAAAGTCGACGAAGACGAATCTCTGACTGAGAAGTGATTGAGAATTGTAAGCTCACAGTATAGCCCAAGTAGTCTACAAGTAAGAGGAGATACTTGTAGCATAGGTCGAGAAAACGTTGTGTAGGCAGTAGACGTGTACAGCCAAGTGGCATTTGTGAAAGCCAAAAGGACTTAGAGGTGACCAAGTGGCGCCTGCTTAGCTAAGTTGATAGGAACACCTTGTGGCCCTACTGCCAGGTGGCCGGTATAGACAAGTGGCTTTGGAGATTAGCCAAGCCAAGTGGGTAATCAGTCGTTCGTATAGCATAGCCAAGTGGCGTTGATATAGCCAAGTGGCAGGAATCTCTTTATTGTTTAATTATACACTAGGCAAGTGTCCTTTGTATTTGTATATATTGCTTCAACTTGACACTAGGCAAGTGTCGTCCGTATTTGTATATATTGCATTTCTTATAATCTGTATATTTTGCATTCCATATTGTCCTCATAAGACTTGGGCATAACCAAGTACGGGCCCAAGGTAGATCGCTCGGGTCCCGCACGTTACAAGAGTATATTCAGAATTTTCCATTTCAGCATCCATTGTGTAAAATTATGGCAAGAATATTGAAAAGTGTTGAAAAAAATTGATGAAACTTTTGCACTTATTTGACCTTTGACTTCCTAAAAATAGTTCTAATGAGGTCAAACTTTAAGACAATTTATCTGCTGTTCGTCCCTTGTAATTTTATGACCTCATATCTAATTTTCATATGTGCTGGGGTGCATAAATGTGTGTAGGATGAGTAATAAACGAAAATTCTTGCCCGAAAATTAAAAAATTCTGGGTTGCTAAGCAACCGCTTTTAAGTAGTTATATGCAGAATTGAAAAAAAAGTTTATGTGTTTCATGTAGTACAGTATCATGCTCTTTTGAGAGAATATCCAAAATTTCCTATTTCAGCATACATCATAGTAAATATTTAGCTTGAAGATTAAAAAGTATCGAAAAATTCCATAAAATTTTGCACTTAATTGACCTTTGACCTCCATTTTTACTAATAAGGTCAGTTGTTGAGTATCTGAATAGTCATAAAATATCATCTCTAAGAAATTCCCCTACAAAATGGTATGCAATACACCTAGCTTTCTCCTTGAATAAAAAAGTGGGAAATAATTTAATGATGTCATATCAAAAGGTCTCCAAAATCACCTAAAATGTGCCGGTAGAGAAAGGGTTAAAATACTCGGTAAGCTTTAAACGTCCGTTTTTATAAATTAAAGAGCAAAGAATGTCAGCAACGCCACAACTTTTTCCAGTTGACTGAACTGTCCAGAAGTGTTAGCACAATCCGCAATACTTTCAAACAGCCTATTGCACCAAATTGGAAGGTAATATATTCTTACAACCCGTGTGCATGTCGTTTGGACCTAAAGAATTCATTAGCAAAGAATTTTTACACATATATTTTCAAAACGCAAGAAATCACGGCTTCGGAGTTGAAACCCCATATGGTACTTAACCGAAACCCCACATATGTGCCCCTTTATATGGCGTGACAGACGATCAGAAAAATGAGATTTAAAGTCCCCTTGATTTTGCGAAAGCGGGGGACAAAAAGGACCTCTGGAAATTCTAGAGATGGGATCAGGTGCCTATGAGGAGTAAACACCTCTTGTTGATCGGTCACATCTAAGTATAAAATATTGATAAGGAAGACGGGACATTCCGTAGTCAATTCAGTATAAACACAAAGGCCTAGCAGTTGTTATGACCGTGTCAGCGAAAATACGAACTAGTGATAGATTTTGTATGCTTTATACATGTATTTTCAACATATA